AACGAAAAATCCTATTTGCTGTTGATGTTCTGTACAACACCCGCAGAGATGGAAGCTGGGTTTATTCTTGATAGGAGCACAAACATTAAAGATAGCCCAAAAGTATTCAGACAAATATGGGTGCAGTACAAAGGCTTGTGCAATGAGAGATATTTTGCTTTTAATCTTGACCTGGAAAACCTTTTCTATGACAGGGCCTCTTTTCAGTGGAGTCACAGTCCTGTCTCGTTACTCTGATTATCAGTGATAAAAAAGCCACCCAAGCTGTTGCTACTTTGGAACAATGACAGGTTTTGAATCCTAAACTTCAAAGGAAAACAAAAACAAAATCAAAACCAGCATCAAACGAAGGACCAGCACTGCGCTGCTGTCTTCCTTCCTCCTGCTCCATCATACCCTTCCCTCATGCAATGTCCCTCACAAATGTATACTCGTTCTTCTAGAAAGCCATAAACACTCCTTCACGTACACATGGAAGGGTTTCTCCCTGTATGCAGTAGGTGAAAGCACTTCCTTTCACAAGAAAAGACAAACGTTAAACTTGGGTCACATAATGCTCCATTTCCCAAAGGAGAGATGTTAAAGATCAGGACATTTCAGGTGATCATTTAGGGCCCCACTATTATTACAGATTTTAATTAAAGGCTTTTTTTAAGGTTAGCAATATTGTTTGTTTCCAGCACAGCCTATCACATAAGAAATGCTCTGCTGGGTCAGATCACCCTCGTGTGGCACTGTGTCTGAAAGCAATAGCAGGAGATGTTGCCTGGAGAAAGCATGGCAGCCTGGGCACCTCCTAGGGCACGTTCTCTGTTTTACCCTCAGTCTGCAGTTGTTGCATTAGTGATGTTAGAGGGTATGAAGTCAGAAATTACTGCTTCTTCTCACTTCCCTTTCTGTAGGCACTGACATCATAACACCAGCAAGAATTTACTAAATTCCACCAACTTACATGAGCACTTTCAGACAGGAATTATTATTGTTTTTTTTCACACTGACATATTTTCCCATATGTGAACGTGCGCCCTCCCTGTGCTTGTGATAAGCAATATGGCACAGCCCTCTGGAGGACTCACCTTTCCCTATGGCAGGACGCAGTCAGTGTTTTGAAGAAACATCAGATTCACTACACAGTTTTAATTTCTGAGCTAGCACTCCTGGAACACACACCACAATCAAATATTAGCAGAAAATACGTCTGCGTGCGCACACATCTTAAAGACAGCATTTACTGCTATGAGATTTGTATGGCCACCAGTGGAAAAGCTTTAATTATACATCCAGCAGTTGCCAGATGGTGGTGAGAAGACAAGTGGACTGCAGACAGCCTGGCCTGTGAACAATTCAGATGCCAGCTACGTTGTGTGCGCTTCTTTTACAGATGGGAAGCTGCTGATATGCAGGCCCACTATAGACAGCTGTACTTGGGCTGGTTCTAGCCAAACAAAGGAAGTAAAGGATGCAGAGATGGGGTCACAACTGAGGGACTGCAATGCTGAGTGCTGCTGTGATGCATAGAAATTCACTTGCTAGTGTGAGAAACATTCCACACCACCACACTCAGGAAAGCTAAGGCACATCAGACAAAACATGAAGTCAGAAGACTAACAGGTAGAACAGCACATACTGAAATAGGCACTGTTTTTTTTTTTTTTGTTTTTTGTTTTTTTTTGTTTTTTTTTTTTAACCTAGACCTTTGTTTTTAATAATTGATATAAAATAGCAAATGACTCACTAATTGCACTTCTGAATTGTAATCCAACCTGGAATCAATCACACATGCATAACTTCTGTTCTTACTTGAAGCTAAATCCACCTCAGTGCATGCAGTAGTCTCTAATAACTGCATTAGTCATAACCTGAAAGTATTTCCTACTTACTTGGTTCAATTTTGCTCACTTTTCAGGTTGATCCTCATCCCTATTGATGAAAGGAACTCTGAAATGTTACCCCACAGAGACTGCTTTGAGATTTGATGAGCACTATGATACATTTCATGGTATGATTTCTCTTTTTCACCGTCTAATTTTCCTCCAATACAATTCTATCACCTTTTCTTCCAGTTCAAAGCAAAACAAGTACCATTCAGGACACACTAGCAAGTACTCTGTCAAACTCAGCAACAAAGAAGGTACACAAAGAACTGCCAGATTTACGCATACAATCCTTTGTTTTGCAGCACAGATTTTTTATTCTTACCCTCTACCCAGAGTCATCTGCTTCTTTTCTTTTCCTGATGTTTTTGTTTTTGAATGAGTATAGATCTCACAAGCTTTTGTCAGAATAAAACTCTATGCTACACAATCTCACTAATTAACCAGGTTGTCACTGTGGGCCAAACAGAAATGAAGGCAAAAGGGTACAAGACAATTAAACCCAAGGTCAGGTAGATACAAAAAAGAAAGTTGATTCTGACAGCTAGGAGCAAAGCAAGATGCCTGAGGAGGAGCGAGATGGCATTTGAGTAGTATCAAACAGAAACTCAGCTTTCACAGGATGCTCACATGAAAACAGACACGTCACAGCCCGTGTTAAAGCACATAACAGCTCCTAACCATGCGGTGAGAACCCAGGCTTAAGTCACATAAGACAGCGTTAAAAGAAGAGCTGCTCAGTTAAGGCTCAGTTATACTTTCAGAAGATGAACACCTATGTACCAAAACACCAAAACCAACGTTTATCTGCCCTAGAAAAGAGCTTTCCCTTGCTGGTATCATCCCGTGCTTCTCCGCAGATCTTCCATCCTCACACTGCAGAAGAACAGACTTAAAATTTGCCAGGTTTTCAGTGCTGGTTTCCTTTCCCTCACTCTCAGACCACCCCAACAAATTGACTACACGTATTTTTAGCTTTTGATTTCAGTGCAAGCTGCAGAAATATTTTTAGTGATCTGGGGTTTTAATGCTTGCACAGTTACCCAGCTGCATATGGGAACTGAACCACTGATTGAGCACCAGGGGAAAGGACCCCCATCAGCCCTGGGAGCACAGGTGAAGACAATTCAGCTGTGTGACAGGAAAGGATGGAGCCTGGCTGCACCTCTCTCTTAGACCTCATTTAAGGGCTGACTGCCACTGCAGAAAGATCTCTGGTTGGGGATCCCTCCCTTGTGGAGTCTTTCCTGTGAGCCAAGATGTTCAGAAATGGGTGAGAACTTTCATTTTCCTTTGTAACACCATTCTATCTATGCTGGTCCATTTGCTGTTCTACTCCTGAATCACCCTTCCAACACATTAATCTCTGCAATTGTAACAGGCTGGTTTTGTTTTTCATGTGTTTACCTGTCCTGAGCACAGCTTTAATGTACTCTCCACCTATTTTTATGTTGTATGTATTATAACTCTTTAATTTTCACCTCCAGCTATTGCTGCTTTTTTTTTTTTTTCCTTTAGAAACCAGACAATGTTGTGATCTTACATTTTTTTTTTTTTCCCCTTTTGTGTCTTTTGACATTCTACTTCCTTTCATTATTTACTGCTCACAAAGTAAATACAGAAGATGTGAAAGGGGCTCTGGACATTGTTCTATGTTACATGAAATTGTTTCCAACTTAATTCTTGTCATTAACGATGACACTTCCTTCAGAATAATTCACATTTGCAGATCCCCATCTTAACTTATCACCCTTCTAAATACCTCCTTTAATACCTACCTAAATACCACAAACCTCCTTTGTGGAAAGTAATCAAGCACTGCCAAACTTCAAAGCATGCAAACAGTGACAATAAGTGTATCATCAGCCTTGCTTAAAATTAAGTATAAAACACGGAATTATTTGGTTTTATAGATTAAAAACAGAATCAAGCAAGTTTCTTTTTCAAATTCTGTGTTTTTTGTGCGTTATTTTTTAGTTCTTGGAGTTGTGAGATTGTTTTCACATATGGAGGTAGCTTTTCCATGAAGATTTGTGAAATATATGTCTAATATGACACTTCTTTTTTCCCCCAATTCAGTCTGTCCTCAGATAGTTTTGCACAAATCCCATTAACTTTAGTATTTATGCCTAAAGGCAGAATTTGAAACCTGTAAAGAACTGGGTCACTGGACAAAGGCAAGCCTCAAACAGAGATCTCTTTTCTGAGCTATTACAAGAGTATCTCTTCCCTCAGGCTCTATATGAACAATCCCATTTGTCCACAAACAATGCCAAACACTTGAAATTTGATAAGTTACGTTTTATCCTTGTTCAGGTAGGATTTTTTTCTCTTTACTGTAGCTAATAGTCACTTAGTCCTCAATGCAGCATTTGTGGCTGATGCGAAGCATCCAAGGACATCCTCCCACGAGGTGCCCTGCTGCAGGTTGCAGTGCCTCATTCATGCCAACCTTAAAATCAGTAAGTTTCAACAGCTTCTTGTAAAGAGTTCCTCCATTTTCCCAGGGATTTCTTTTTGGTCTCCATGAAAACTGCTTTCATACGTTGGTCACACAGCAACTCCTGCTTTACTTCTATTTTTTATTTAATACTGGCAATAAAATTTCTTTATCAGATTTATGGAATGCAAGATAACCACAATAAGATCTGCAAGCTGTAAAATCAGTCCAGGCACCGAGATTTTTACAAACTACATTTAATGTCTCAGTAAATCTCAGTGAAATAAACAGCCTTAGAAGACTTCAGTCACTTACCACATGTATTCTCTGTATTAACATCTCAGATCTGTATATTGCTTCCATATAACTGGCTGATTTTTGGCACAATTCAAGTCCTCATCACTTACTGACTACACCTAGAATATACATTTCTATTTCTTCCATTTTATTTAATGAAGTCTAAAGAAAATTGGTAAACTTTCTTCAAACATCAGATGTTCTTTTCAGTGTTAAACAGATAACCTTGTGCTGCAGTGCCAAAGCTATTCCAATTCCCTGTATTCTAAATTCATCCACCATTCCTCTTTCCTCTCTTTTTTTCCCCTAGCCCTTGGCAAACAACTAGCCCAAATGATAACTCCATGGAAAATCTTAAAATTCAAGAAAACATACAACTCATGCCTTACCTGAAAATACCTTTCTTCATTATCTGAGATGCAGTCTCCTGTATGTTTCTCTCTCCTTGTTACATTTCCAGCTGCACTGCAGTCGCCATTCTTCCACAGCTCCCTGTTCCTCTGTCTCCTCCATCAGCCTTTGTTCAGGCTACACTGGTACTTCGTCATTTGCTGCAATCAATTTCAAACAAAAGTGTCCTTACATCAAGTCCTTGGAATGTCCCTTGATTATCTAGCTGTTACTTTCTTGCCCCTTCTCAAAGGCCTACGCTACAAGGCAACAGGACATTCTGGTAAATTCATTTATTGCTTCTAAAGTTCTCAATTCTAGACTGGAAAGCAGTAATTGAGAGTCATTAGACATTATTTCCCTTTTAATACTCCTTATGCACCATTACAGAAGTAGAGCTGTCTTTCTTCAGGACTAGGGTGACAGCTTAGACAAGCCTTGTGAAGAAGCACACCAACCATCAGCAGCTCAGTTTCAACCTCCCACTACAGGTCATGTTTCCGTGCATATGTGTTTTCTTCTTCCACTGCAGTGCTGCAAATTGCTGTTCTGAATGAAACTTACTGCTTATCTTTGGCACTGCAGAATTCCCGAGCCTACTGCCTTTGCCAAAGTTCCTCACAGGCTGCTTCAACACAGCATGCTGTGCATTGATTATGCTAGCAAGGAGCTCCCCAGTCAATTTCTTTCATCTTACAGCCTATAAAGGATTAGTTCTGCAAAGTGATACCATACAGCATAGATGCCATGTTCAAAGTTGAAGAAAGCACTTAAACTAGAAAACCTTGTGGAAATTTAGATGCACTCATGCAGTCAGCTCTGGGGGCACTCATCCCTTACACTGATACCAAGGCTGCTAAGTCTGAAGAAAAAAAACTTTTTTACACAAATTACAAGTCAAATATCATTTAAGGCCATGAAACGTGAAGCTATTGGCCATTTGGATGTTGAAGCAGAAGCACAGAGATACTCTGCAGCACACACACAAAGGAAACAAAAAACCACCAACCATCAGATTCAGCCCCCTCTCCTCATCAAAAGGCTTCAAGAGGCTTCTCTGAAGGGTCTGAAAAGCGTTGCTGAGCATTCCCACCCCACTGCTGGTGGTGGACGGAGCTCCAGAGCTCTCAGTGGCAGAATTTACGCTTAACCACAGAATGGCTCTTTGTCCCCATCCCTAGAAGGGAAAGAGGTAATTGCTGCCTGCCATGCCCCTCGCACAGCCCAACCTGCCACGTTCACCACAGGAAAGCATCGATTTTAGGCCCTCTGGCAACAGCTGAGGAACCCAGATGGAGAACAGAAACCCACCAGGAAACACTGCTTCTCAGCTCAATTCGGGCAGCTGCTCTCTTTCTGCACTGCTTCAGATTTCGAAGCAGGGTATAAAATCCGTGAAGCACGCACACTGATGAAAGGGCATTGGGACCCCACCACGCCCCTCAGCTCCTCTCTCCCTCAGGCCAGGCCGTGCCCATCGCCTCACGGGGTCACGACGCCCGCGGTGAGGATTACCCTCACGGCCCTAGGGCGTTTGTGGCGGGCGGGTAGCGGTGAGATCTGGCGGCTAGAGGAGCCCGGGGTGGGTCGGCGGCTCCTGGCGCCCTGAGGAGCGCTGGGGCCGCGCTCACACGCCTCGCACACACCTGCTTCCCGCCTTCGCCTCGCACCAGGCCCACAGGGATGGGGAGGACCCTACCGCGCTGCTTACGTACTCTGCGCCCGGCGCGCTAGCACCTACGGCATTTGCGCACCAGGAACCCTCTCAGGTGCAGTGCTCGCGCTGACGACATTACGGAGAATCCGTAAGAACACCGACCGCTTTGAGGGGCTTTACGTAAGTGACGTTCTTTGGTGCGGGCCTGGCCGCTCCTCACTCGCACATCCGCGGGAGCCGTCCGAGCTGCAGAGAGCGCTCTCCTCAGGGGACGGGTAGGATTACGCAGGCTACGCAAGGAGTAGCAGCTGCAGGTAGGAAATCAGCCAGGCCGGGCCGGGAACCTTTACGTCAATTCCGCAAGGCTGCGCTGCGCTGCCGCGAGGAGGGAGGAAACGGCCGGCGGGGCGCCGCTACGCACTTGGCGCGGCGGGCCGGCATCTTCCTACGTCGTTGGCGTAAGGCTCTCTCTCAGGTGCAGGGAGGGGGCGGGCTCACGTTGCCCGGCAGCCGCAGCCTATGGGGGCGCCGGGCGCTGTCACGTGCCGGAGCCCCGCTCGCCGCTGCGGAGCCGGAGGAACCGGACGGGGCCGCGGAGCCGGGCCGGGGCCGGGGGCTGCGGCGGGGCCGGCGGCGAGCGGGGTGAGACGGGTGGGCGGCGGGGAGGACCGGAGGCGGCCGCCGGCGGTCCCCGAACGATCCCGAGGGGAGGCGGGCGCCGGGCACCGCTCCTCCCACTGCACCGGGCACTGGGGGCAGGAGGCAAGGGCAGGGGGGGGGAGGGGAGGCGGCGCGGGGCGGGGGGACGCCGGTGCGCGCGCGGAGGGTCGCGGGGCGCGGCGGCCGTTGGGGGTTCCGCTCCTTGAGGTGCGGCCGTACCTGGCGACGGGCACAGGTGCGGGGCGGCCGGGGCCGGGCGCGGACGGGCGGCGGGGCGGAAGCGTCCTCGGACGGGGACGGAGAGGCGGAGGAGGCGGGCAGGTGCCGGGCGGGTGCCGGGGGTCCTCCGCGAAGTTGGCCCCCGCTCCGCTGCCTGCCGCGCGGAGCGGGGCGCCATCGGTTTGTGGTTTGCGTCCCCCGGCGCCGGCTGCCCTCTGAGGATCGCGAAGCCGATGGTTCCTATGGCGGTAGCGAGCCGGGAGGACGAACGGGGTCCTGAGTTTCGAATTGAAGTAGAAACGCGCGTTACCTGGCGAAATGGCATTATTTATTTACACGCCCCTGCAAATGGCGCTGTGTGATTTGCGGAAAGTAAGAAAATGTCCTGCGCCGACAGCTGCGCCCGATGGCACCGAGTGGAGCGCTGGAAACGGGCGTGAAATGGAGCAGTCCTGCCTGTGCCGGGCTCTTGGCTGCCTGCTGCCGCCCTTTGACTTCTTCTGTAAAGTTTAAAATGGAATTTTTACGCCTCCTGTAAAGAAGTGCAGCTAACGTGGTGCAAGACTTGGGTGGATGTTGTAGCTGTCAAGTGTGCCACATCTCGTGTAAGAAATGTGGCTGTGTGCTCTGGGGACAAAGAAAAAGAAAATTAAAATTCTCTCCTTCATTCGTGCAGAGTAATTTGGAAGGAAAGGAGAAGGCAGGGCTCTCTGAAGAACTGGTCTCAGCGGATTTTCTTTTTCAGAATGCAGTAACTGTTTTTGGAGCACCCAAAGGAAGCAGTGGAGGAGGCAGGGAGGGCCTGGTGTTGGCAGGAAGGAAGGGAGATGGAGACATACAGGGGCTGTGAGGGAGGTTTTTGGGATGGACTGGGAGGAAGGCCTGTGGTGCCTATAGGGACTGTTGGTGTAGTCCTTTGTGTGTGCGTGGTGGTTGCTCTCTGCATTCCCCCAGAAGGTGGACAGTCTGCCTCTGAGACGATCCATCAGAAAAGATGGGCTGCAGTTATTCCTGCAGGTTTGGGAGGGAGAGGAAGGCCGTGAGAGCCGCTGGGGCTGCCTGTAACCTGTGCTACGTTCTTGGTTGTGTTTAAGATGCATGTGTCTTTTTTTTTGCTCTCTGGAACTTTCCAGTTTTTCTCTGCTTCACGTTGGTGCAGAAGGGGAGGAATGGGGAAAAGAGTGGGTACGGATTGCTAATGGTGTGGTTTTAATACTTTCAGGTTTCTGCTTCTCATTATCTTGTCATTGATAATGCAAGTCCAGTGCTTGTTCTCACATTCCGTGTAGAATCTTTTGTCCTTGCAGAATTTTTATGCCTGTTTGTAAATTTAAAAAAAAAAAAATAATAAGGGACGGGGTGGGGGGGGCTGTTCTTCCACATGAATCATTATTATTGAGCTACTGACAATATTGTCTCTCCACAAAAAGGATGCTGATGAAGCACCAGTTCTTGCTCCAGAGGGTTCAGGAGCTTAAATGCAAGGAAGGAATCCAGGACTGAATTTCTTGAGGAACTTGAGGAAGGTTTTTTTCTAGAAATCCTTGTGTGTTGGGGGAACCCCAGGTGAGTAAGTGGCTGAATCCAGCCTCATGGCTTCTGCTCTGAGATGGCACTGCAGATGCAATTGGTTTCATAGCAGAGGTTCAGAAGGAACTAAGAAGAAAGCGTAGGCAAATGGAAGGTGATTGCAGAAGATCGGCGCCATGTGTGCAGATCCTTATTCTTAAAGCAGAGTCTGAACTTAGCTGAGCAGTTGTATAGAAGACCATTGGGAAAAGAGGAGCAGAGCAATGAGGGCAGAGGGCATGCCTTCTGTATGTGTTTGTGAAGCAGTTTAAATTGTGGTAGACTTGCAGATCTTGGGAACCCGTTTCTAGCTTGGAAGCAGTATTTGCCTTGAATGTTCATTCAGTAACAGTGATTCTTAAGGTTGCGGAGCTCTTTTCTTTGGAAGCTTTTTGGTGTTCCTCAAGGGTCTGTCTTCGCAGATTTTTTTTTCTTTTAAGCTGTCTCTCATTTATGAAGTGAATCCTGTTGAGGTGGGGAGGGAAGAAGGGTGTGGAAGAAAAGAAACTAGTCCAGGCTGCTTCGAGTTGTGAAAAAGCCTCACTGTAGAACCATAAAAGCTGCACTTTTTCCATGTTGCTCTGGAAGCAGCTGAACTTTGTAACTTGGCATGTAAATAGAGCTCTTTGAAGAGCATGTCCATGGCTGGAAAGAAGGGAGGGGGAGATGCCCTGGCTGGCTAACAAGCTTATGTGTGGAAAAAGCCACTGTGATTGGCATTACATATCTGTTAAAAACTGTGAAGTTTTCAGAGTCTTGTCCTTGGTTATGGGTGCACATGGACATGCTGGCGCTTCTACATGTAAAAGAAAACTGAAGAAGGTGGCAGTTTGAGTATTTGTACTGGGCTGGATGAGGGAGCATCCTGGGCAACTGTGAGAGGCAGTCCTGGCTGTCTGTGCTAGGGAAGCGAGAGCGCTGCGCTTCAGTCTGTGCCCTGCTATGCTAACTGGCAGCTGTTGGTGAGTTAGGGCTTAAGATAAGTGTAGCCATGCCAACAGAGGACTTCAGCATCACATTTCTGTAACTTAGTTTGTATTGAGGTCAGGGAGAGAAGGCTCTTCTGTTCTGACAACATATGCGTGAGGAAAGCTTGGCTGATGTAGTGTCCTGGATTTCCTATAAAATGAGCAGTATTGGCAAGTGAAGGTTATTTTACTGCTATATATGCAGCAGCCATGAAATTAAAGGGAAAAATCCTGTTAAAAGTAACATGAACATTACAATTACAGATTTAAATAGCAGAAAAATGCAAATCTCAAACATTTCTAAGAAAATAATTGTTTTAGTACAGATGTTGTACTTGAAGTATGCATGTGACAAATATAATTTTGTTGTACAAAGTTTCTGGAAAAAAAGGCCTAAGATGCCCTACCTGAAAACATTTGCTTCTATTTCTATTTAAAGCAGTGGTTAATAAAAATGACAAGACCAGAGACAGTATTTTTTCAGTTGTTCTTCTGCATTTCTTGGCACTTGTGAAGTTTTTCATTCTTACTTGTGAGCCTTTCACAGAGCAATGACGACAGAAAATGCAGACAGTGGTGCACTGTGTCAGCTCACACAGATCATGTTCCACTTCTTTGAATAACTTTATGTCTCTTTAAGAAAAAGTGTGTGTAGGAATTGTTACAAATCATATGGGTAAGTTAAACTGCTTGCACTTTTTTTTTTTTTCAACTTTATTTTGTAGCAAGATTGCCTCATGTTTCTGGACCATTAAGTGTCACAGAATGAAGGAGGACTGAGAATTTTTGGACCCCACTCCATGTTGGTCTGTTGCCCCATATTCATAGTTTTGCTTTGCAATGCATATTCTGACCTTTCTGTTAATTTCCTATGCAGTACAGGAATGTAGGCAAGGTGCTAGTTATAGGGGAAACATAAGAAAAAATTCAGAGCATGTGGTTTGTTCTGCTGCTACTGAAAGGTATGTAAAGCATGGTACTGGACTGCTGTGTCTGTCCTCTGCCAGCTAAAACCAAGAATTGAGACTAATCCTATGTGTGGATTTTCTGTGCAGCCAACCAGAGCTGCTCTGTTACTGGGCCATCTGCACATTTGCTGATTGGTTTCTCAAGTAGTAAAGACCATGGATTATTAAAAGCCGTGCCCTCATTGTTTCACTTCATGGAATTTTTCCACAGCTATGCAAAATTTCTCTCTTTTCATAGTAAAATGCTTTCTTAATGTGCTGGCAAACTGGAGGTGCTGGTGGATGCTGAAGAGGAATCGTCTTATGAAATCCATTTGCTAACTATTTTAGGAGATCTCTTGGATTGTGGTAACTGAAGTGATCCTGTTGCATGGATTGATTTAAAGCAGTTCTCTTATACTGTGGCTTGGCAAACTATTGAATAGCCCCGAAATGCTGCTTGTGATTGACATAAAGCAGCATATTCTTTACGTTTTGCTACTAGGCTCTAATTTATCTGTCGTAAGGCTTGTGTACAATAGCAGTAAATTCTTTTTATGGCAGTGTTTCTCTTCTATGTAATATCTGCATAAGGGAATTAAATTACTCTTAATTGTATCCTTAAAAATAAATTTGGGGCATGTCTGGCTAGCACATTAAATTCAATTTTGCTCCTTCACATTCTTACTGCCCATTTACTTTAAATTGACTTTATTGAAAAATTAAATGTTTGAATATCTGATTGAGAACAACACTGTCATTAGTGGGTAATCATGAGATGTCAGAACCTGGAGAAATCTTAGAAAACAGCACCCATTAAGGTTTTAGACCTTAAACCTGATGTAGTTAGAAGTGAAGCAATGGTTGAAGCTGAACTGGCTGTTTGACCTAAGAGCAAACAAACTCAGCGGTGAGGAACT